CAGGCTAGCAGGTTTGCCTGCTCTCTCTGAACTGTGTATTTACAAGCCCTTTACTTCCTTGCTGCAACCGCCTGGTTCAGGCGCCAGTTCCCGGCGTCCGTGCAGGTATGCGGCGTTGGCAACAGGGCTCCGCTCCTGAACTGCGACATCTACTGAAAAAGATTCCTTTTCCTGAAAAGAAATGTAGAGGCAGAAAGAGGGGAGCACAGTTGGCCTTGAACAATGTGGGGTTGGGGCGCCGACTCCCACGCAGGTGAAATCCATGTGTAACCACAGGGGGCCCTCTGCATGCTCGACCGTCCAACAACACTGCTTGACCTCCCCGGGGCCCCTTGGACGCGGCCTGTGATCGGGCAGTTCCAGCCACATTCTTCAAGGGCCTCGTGGGACGGAGGGCACCGTCTGGTAAGACGCCGGGAGGTGCCCTTCTGATTACTGTGACACAAGAACGCGGCCGACTTTGCAAAGGGCCTCTCGTTCCTGGCAGGACCTGTGAGCAGCCGGAGCAGCCGGAGGTTAGAAGGAAGGATTAAAAAAATAACACGAGTTGAGATGTCCTCCGTTTCTATAAATGGTTGATAGAGTTTTAGAAATTCAAGGAGCCCTAGAACTGGGGGCAACCTTTACTCAGAGATGGTGAAACGGAGGCCCAGAGAGGAGAAACAAGATGGGCACGGAAGGTCGGAAGCCAGCCGTGACGAGGACAGTGTCCACAGGGGAGCAGGCAAGTGGACAGCAGCAGGTCAACCCTGAAGGAGCCGCTGGCCTGGGAGGACACGCCGCTGGGCGTTGGACGGAGAGAGGGAAGGGCTGCCACGCTGGCTGGGAAGCTGGGGCGGCTGAGGTGGGGCCACTCCTCCCTTCGTTTGCAGCCAGGAGAGGCCAGGACCGGTCCAAGCGGAATGAAAACCCCTCAGCACCTCCTTTCCCCTTTGAACACTTGGAGTGCGGGTGAATTTCCCGCCAAAATATAAGATGGCTCTGTCTTTTGGTTTTGTTCCATCCACCAAAAGGGTGGATTACAAACAAATATTTGGTAATACGCAGTTACAATCGGCCCGAGTTTACACGTTTCCCGCACTCCACCGCAAATCTATATGAACCGAGTTAAAGACGGCTCCCGCGGAGTACGCGCAATTCACGCGAGCCGACTTAACTCGTTTCCCGCACTCCAAGTGTGAAGAACGCACAGGGGAGCGAAGGTGCAGGGCCCACAGATGGTGGCAGCTCCGGGGATGGGTCCCCTGGCCCTGAGGTTAAACGGGGACAAAGTCTTCTTCCCCTTCCACTTCCTTGTTGTTTTCCGATCGAAGGACCCTCAGGATGACACGTGTGTCCTAGAAGGACTATGACAAGTTCCTGTGGCCTCTGGGACAGGAGCTCTCTCGGAGCGCAGGGTTCCAAGGCCTCAGCCCCCTGCAGGTTAGGCTCCAGGTGGCCGCCAGGAGATGAAAGAGGCAGCAGCTCCCCCTCACCCCCGACCCTCACCCCCCACTCTCATTTCTGGATTTCAGACACTGGCCTCCTGAGTTGTGAGAGGACAGAGTTCTGTGTGGCAATTCCTTAGGGCAGCCCCAGGACACTCACATAGCACGGAAATAGGTGACGTCCCGGGAGGAGGTGCCTCACAACCCAAGTGGCACCTGGGTGAAACAGCAGGAGCCCCGACACAGGATGAACGACGTGGAAGTGTGCGTGTTTCGGTGGCGAATATGCAGAACATGTAATTGAGATGTAAACTGAACCTTGAAGCAAACTGTGCCCCAACCTTGTCCTTTGTCTTTCTCTCCCACGGCCCTTGCTGCTGGCGAAACCCACCCAGACCGTAAACATGCGGTGTGTGT